TGCATAAAGGTTGTTATTATATACCTTAAAATTTTTAAGAGGGTATTATTTTTCTAAATAATTTATTACAAACAACTTTAAACATCAGTAAAACCAATTAAACATTTAAAAGTCATTACTATAAAAAAGAATTTCAATATATAAACTATTAGAGCCATATGTTTGTTTTGTCTGGATTGCTTTCCCATCTTTTTTGGCCCTATGTTTGTATTCTACCTCACACGAGACCATGTTGATTCATCAGCACATTCCCAAATCCTCGTCTCTGCTAGCTATGCTATTTCCATACCATGCCATCTGCATTTTTGCCATCATACATGTACTTTTCTTGATGGAATGTTGAAGCATGGCCGTTTGCAGAAGGGAAAAATGGCAACTGTGTTCTCAAGAAAGGTTCAGGCATTAGATGCTTCACTTCATTGGCCTTGCCATTATAAACCCTATTCCCAAGGGCAACTTCATGAAGCCTCTACAAAGAGATGAAGAACTTCCAGGCCATGCAGTACCAGAAGATGATAGTTACCTGCTGCCACATATATATCATTCACATATGCCTCACTATCTTTATACTCTTAAGTTTGAATCCATTCTTCCCATGGACTCTGTGTGTATGCACCAGAGAATGTGCCCTAGGTTTTTTTGGGAGGTTATTTTGTACCAACTGTTCTTACTAAACCACTAAACTAAATGCCTTTGCTAAAGTCAATGAAGTCTGCTGACTAATTGCTAATGAGAAGCACACCATTAGTAGGCTAGGATAGCAGGAATTGCTACCCATGGTGTCACCCCTAGAATCTGAGAGTAGCAGCTGCTGTTTGGGGACCCCATCTGAGAGTGAAAGTGCAAGTTCAGAACAGATTGAAGGTGGTATTCTATTTTGCATCCTGTCTTATGGCCTGCCTATTCCTGACCCTTGAAATCAAATATCCAGGTACTCAAATTCGGTAGGTCTCAGCCATGTTAGACCCAGCAGTCTCTATGAACTTCATCGACTCAATACTTGCTCTAAAAGTACAAGAAATACTGGGTTAGTTAAAATTATCAATGGATACCCCACTTCAATATGGACCAGTGAATCAGGAGACCAAGTTCTAATTAGAGAAGGATCATCATAGGGAAGTCACACAGCAAATACAAAGATTAGAAATGACTCATTTGTGAAAAACTTTTCTATGATTCATGACAGAACTGAGGGATTGAAAGCTCACAATACCAGGCTAGGGATGACCTTTACTGGGAGAAATCAAAATCAATCTTTCCCTGTCAGAGAGAATTAGAGCAGAGAGTTTTGAGTGTAGAGGAAGATATACCTAGGAGGCAATTAATACCTAAGGCCTGCTGAGCAGCCAGAGTTGAGAATAAAATCCGGGATAGCTCCAGTAAGTGAGAAGAAGATTTAATTAAGAAATGATTGAAAACAGTAAAGTTTAGCAACAGGCATACTTAATTTGTTCCTACCTAGGTGTTATATCACTTTGAACTCCACTGGAACGTGCATATCAAATTGTTGTAAGTAGATGGCCTAGACTAGTCAAAGGATGCACTAAATTTGGTAAAGAATTACACTTATTTGTAAAATAAAATGCATTAATTAGTGAACCTACCTCTTTCATTTATCTATGCTGGAGGGAAGCCTAATTTCATGGATTATACACTGATTCTATGTATAAACAGGCATTTGCTATTTACCTGGTGGCAACTGCCCAAAATTCAGAAACAGTTTTTTAGGAGGAATTGATCAGCCTCCTTAAGGTTTGTACTACAAGATCAAAACCTAATAGGTGGCATTAATTTTCAAAGATGAGTTTAGCTTTCTGCAGGAAACCATTTCCAAAGAAACTCATTCCACAGCGTAAGTTAGGGTTAGCTCAAAACATAATCGTACTTGAGGTAGCATTGTGTATTGGAAAGAACACTGAATTTGAATTACAGTATCTAGGTTCAAATCCTGTTTCAGATTTTTATTACTTGTGTAATTTGAGCAAATTGATCAACCATTTTGGTCCTCAGGTTGGGCAGCTAGGTGGTGCAGTGTATAGAGTGCTGACCTGGAGTCAGAAAGACTCATCTTCCTGATTTCCAATGTGGCCTCAGACGATTACTAGCTGTGTGACCTCGGGCAAATCGTTAATCTCTGTTTGTCTCAGTTTCCTCGTCTGTAAAATGAGCTGGAGAAGGAAATGGCAAATCCCTCCAGTATCTCTGCCAATACTAAACCCCAAATGGGGTCACAAAGCTTCAGACACAACTGAAAACGACTGAACAACAGCAAAAATGAAAAGTTGGGCTGGGTGACCTATAAAATCCCTTTCAGTTCCAGATCTATAATTCTATGGTTCTAGATAACAAGGGTCCTATTCAGCTCTGAAAGTCTTAATCACTCACATTCAGCATGGAGTGTTCTGGATAATCACAATTATGCAAATATGGCTGGAGCCCCCATTCAGTGCTTTCTCTAAAGACAGACAAGGCAGGAACTGTAGATTAAAATAGCAAAGCATTTCAATTGGATAGGATAACAAAATAAATTAAAGGGAAAATCCAGTGGTAGAATCATACTGCGGCCTCCATACACAAAGTCTCTCCAAGAGACTCTGAATCCAGTGCAGGAGCTGATATGCCCAGTGCGATTCATGTTCCTAGGGTCGCACTGGATCTAGAACAATCAATCAATCAACATTTATTAAGGGCCTACTATGTGCCAGACCCTATGCTCAATGCTGGAAATACAAAAAGAGGCAAAAGACATTCTCTGTCCTCAAGGAGCTTACAATCTAATGGGAACATGGCTTCATCTCCCAAAAATCAGCTGGGGCTCATTTCTGCTTCACTTTGCTAGTGCAGGTGATATTCCTCTCTGCTTCTGGAGCTTCCTTTTCCTATTTTTTTTCAGTCACTGCTACCAAATAATAACAATTAACATTTATTAAGCACCTACTGTGTGCCAGACACCACACTAAGCACTTTACAATTAGTATTCCATTTGATCTTCACAACACTCTATCATTATTCTCATTTTACAGATGAAGAAATTGAGGCAAACAGAGGTGAAGTGACTTGCCCAGGGTCACATAACTACTAAGTGTCTGAAGCTGGATTTGAACTCAGGTCTTCCTGACTCCAGGCCCAACACTCTAACCTCACTGTCATCTAGTTACATCAGTTGTTAGAGTGAACACCTGCTATTGGGTCTTCTGCTTTCGCAAAAGGAAGGTTATCCCTCCCACTTTTGTGAGACTGTTGTATACAGTATACTTAAGAGTGGATCGACAAATTTTTTCATCTTTTGTAAGTGAGGCCCACAGTCATTCAGAATTTAGATCACATGAGGAGTCCCTTTTAAGCAACCCTTAAGACCTTTTTTAAAAAACAAAAACCAAAAAACTTGATTTCTATCTCCCATAACCCACTATGAGAAATCTTCCGGGCCTCTCTCCTTGTTGGGCTATGGAAAACAAATTTCTTTCCACAACTATCACACCCATAGCAACTAGAACCTGGACCATGCCAACATCCTTGAATTTTTGGTGAGCTTAATGAAGGTACTTAGCAGTGCTGGAGGAAGGAGGGTAAAGCTGGAACCCTTTGCCTGGCACTCTGACCACTATTGCAAAGGTTCTTGGCGCTCTGACATACAATCACAGAATTTCAGAGGAGGAAGGGTCCCTAGAGATCCAATTTCCTCATTCTATAGATGAAAAAACTAAGGCATAGACAAAGTAAGTGATTTACCCAAGGTCACACAGAATGTAAGTGTGGGGGTGGGGATGCCTGTAGGGTATACTTCATTTTACACACACACACACACACACACACACACACACACACACACACACATGCCCTCTGTCAATAAATGAAGAGGTAGTCTGGCAACTCATTAGAGAGCCTGTGTTTTTGCCTTTGTATCCCAAGAGCTTAACATGGTGACCGGCATAGGGTAGATGCTTAATAAATGCTCATTAACTGACTGGAAACCCTTCACCAACTCTTCTGCATTTTAGAACTCCCTTTTCTTTCTGTCATCTAGGGTTCTTATGGTGAGGATGTTGCCTCAGTTAAACTTCTTCCCAGGCAGCACCCCATCTTTCAGATTTTTCCCAATTCCTCCAAAATCAAAACTTGTCTGCCCATGTCCCATTCCTTCAGGGTCTGGTTCTCTGCTAGCTTGTTTGCAAAGTGTTTTACATATTTTATTTTATTTGGTCTACACAATAACTCTGGGAAGTGGGTACTTTCATTATCATCCTGTTTATAGATGAGGAAATTAAAGGGGGCAGGGGGAAGGGAACAAGCATTTATAAAGTACCTACTACGTGTCAGATACTGTGCTAAGTGCTTTATAAATATCTAATTTGATCTTAACAACAACTCTGGGGGGTAGGTGGTATTATTAACCCCATGTTATAGTCGAGGAAACTGAGGCAGACAGTGTTTAAGTGACTTGCCCAGGAATACAGCTAGTAAGTATTTGATTTGAACTCAAGTTTTCCTAATTTAGTTCTGGGAAGGTCCTATGCACTGTGCCATCTAAGCACATATATCTAAGCCAGTGAAAGAATCCCTAGGGATGAGAAAAACACTGTGGACCTGGATGAAAAGGAAAAAGGGAAAATGGCTCTTACTCAAGGCCTTCCTAATAGATCAACACACCAAGGCTGCACAGATTATGTGATGACAAGCAGAAGAAAGCCAAATGAACATCAGCAGGGCTCCTTCCGTGGCCTTTGGATTCGGGGTTGCTAGGATACAGGAGCATCTGATGAGAAGATCTGGGAGCAGCCGGCATGAGGCACCCCCTCTAGAGCCCTTGAATACAGGAGTCCCTTGTGTTAGTTCTGAGGCTGGGCCAGGCAAGAGGGAAAAAAAAACAACCGTTATCTCACTGAGAGGCTGCAAAATTGCTACACTGACCCACCCCCACTCCTGCAAAAAGGAAATCGAAGCCAGAGTTATAGCAAGAGTGACCACACACACTTCCTTAAGACCTCGTTTTAGGTTTCTCCCTCCCTCTGTTTGTGACGTTCACTGGCCAAGATCAGATCAGCTCCATGGGTCGCTTGAAACAGAAGCCTGGAGGAGAAATTGCCTAGTACTGCCTAACTAGATGGAGGTAATTTTTGTTTGTCTATTCTGGTGGTCAGGGGCTGAAAAGAAAGCCACAGCTACTCATTATTTACCTTTTGTTTCCTCTCAAGGGCAATGGAATAGTTACTTTGCCTCTGTTACCTCATTTGATCCTCATAATACCCTTGTGAGACAGATGCTTCATTTTATAGATGAGAAAACTGAGGAAGAGGAAAGTTGTGACTTGCCCAGGGTCATAGGGCTAGCAAGTGGACCCCCTTGGTGTCAAAGACTTGTCTGCAGTTCTAACTCAGGGTCTTCTGGGTATAAACCTCACCTTCTTAAAGTTTGGGTTAAGAAAGAAAAACAACCACCACGAGCAACAAAAAACTTGCCATATTACATAATAGAAATGTTCTCAAAATTTTTCAATGTATTGGTCAGTTATGCTGATTTTTTCCCTCTCTTAAAAATACCATTTGTCATATGGAAGAGCTCTCTGGGAGGGCAAGGGAGAGGGACACTTGGGATATCCATGATGATGTAAGAAATAGAAAATATCAATAAAATTTATAAAAATATTTGTCTAGAAATCATATATCCATGGGTGGAAGGAATGTTATAGGCCTCTCTTTCCCCCATCCCCCCACCATTTTTCAGGGGAGAAAACTGAAGCCCAGGGAAATGAAAGGATTTATCCAAGGCCAGAAAAGGAATATATTTCAGATGTGGAATTTGAACTCCACTCTTTTGATTCCATGCCACTGTTTTTTCTACTGTATCGTGAAAGGTAATTATCTGAGAATGGTGATCATAGGCCCATCAGAACATAGATTTAGAATTGGAAGAAACCAAGAGGTCATTCCACCCACCTTCTCATTTTAGAGATGAAAAACCCTGAAAGGTTGTGATTTGCCCAAGGTTATGTAGGGAATAAGAAGCAAGTAGCAGAATCTGGGAATGTTTGTACCATTTGGGGCACACATTTTTCCACCCTCTGTCAATAAGTTAATAGCGTTTGTTGAAAATCTCATTTGCAGGAGCTCACAGAGGGGAAGTGACAAGGGGAGCAGAAGATGGTGTTTGGGCTATCTCTTTCACTCTGATTAATGAGCCCAGGGATTTTCCTTCAATTTGAGCTTAAGGAGAAAAAACAGAAATTAGCATCATAGGAGAGCAAGAATAGAAACCACTGCTCAGGGTTTTTCACTAAATCACTAACCAAGGCTATCACATCTATATAATAAACAATTATATTTACTTTTTTGCTTACATTGTTAAAGAATGACAGGGCAGGCTGCATTTATTTTTGTTGGAAAGGAGGGGTGTTAGGCACTTATCCTTCTATGAAGCAGTCTCCCTGAAGAAAGGTCAGTGGGTGTTGACCCACTAGTTCTGGGTCCCTCTGTGACATTCGTTGGCTGAGATCATATCAGCTTTATGGGAAAGTAGAAACTGAAGTGACACATTCTCATTTCCTGATTCTGGGGAGTCATTTCAACAAACCTAGGTTCTAATTTAGTTCCTGTTTTCTAATTGTGAAATTATGGAAGATCTTGCTACTCTGGAGGGTGGAAACTCTTCTGTGCACTTGCTGAGGGACAATTCAGTTCAACAAATATATATATATATATATATATATGTGTGTGTGTGTGTGTGTATATATATACATATATATATATATACATATATATATATATAATATGTATATTAAGTGCCAGGTACTGTGTTAGGTCTGGAGATAAAAAGAGAGAAACAAAAGTTGACATGCATACAGATTAAATCAGTGCAAAATTAACGTAGAGCCATCATGTCAAGAAGGTAGGGAACTTTAACCCCTGGCACATTGGAAAGGTCTCTTTTAGAAGGGGGTATTTAACTGAGCCTTGAAATCAGCTAAGGGAGGGGAGAGAGAAAAGCATTCCAAGTATAGAAACAGTTTATGGAAAGACACAAGGAGGAGATCAGAATAGTCAATTACCATTGGTATTTTTTTTCCTCTAGGATTTAACCAATGCCCAAGATGGGTAACCTGAATTTCAAAGGTCAGCACAAAGAGGCACCCAGGGTGGTGATAATGGGCCTGGACTCTGCTGGCAAGACCACCCTCCTCTACAAACTGAAGAACAATCAACAAGTGGAGACCTATCCCACTGTGGGCTTTAATGTCGAGTCTTTGGAGGCATCCAAGTATGGGTCCCTGACTCTTTGGGATGTGGGGGGTCAGGACCAACTCCGGTCCAGCTGGAAGAACTATTTAGAGGACACTGACTCCCTCCTCTATGTTCTGGACAGTACAGATGAAGACCGGCTGCCCGAGGCTACGGCTGAGCTGGAAAATGTCCTGAACAATGTTCATATGGCTGGTGTCCCTTTCTTGGTCTTAGCCAATAAGCAGGAGATGCCAGGGGCCCTGTCTCTGCTAGAGATTAAGAATAGGATGCGTTTGGACCGATTCAATGACCGGAGCTGGGAGCTTCGGGGTTGTAGCGCCCTTACAGGTGAGGGGCTAAAAGAAGTCCAGCTGGCCCTGGAGAGACTTCTTAAGTCCTGAAAGTAGATATGCCTCTACAGTATGAGAGTGGATGGAGAGATGAAGAAGTCTTGACTGATTAGAAATATTGTTGAGTAAGAACTGGGGAAACTGAGTGACCTTGAAAGACTTAAGAACTCTGATCAACACGATGATCAATCATTATTCCAGGACCAATGATAAAGAATCCTATGCCCCTTCTGGCGGAGAACTGATGGTCTAAACATGCAGAATGAATGCATTTTTGGAAATGGCCAATGTGGGAAATTGTTTTACTTGACAGTGCATATTTATCACAAGGGTTTTGGTTTTTTGGTCCCTTTTTCTTTCTCCAGTAGGGAGGGGGAAGTGGGAAGGAGAGAATCTCTGTAAATGAAAAAAAAAAAAACCTTTAATTAAAAAAAAATCTGGGGGAATGAATTAATCATTAGTAAGTCTGAACATAACAGCTTATCAGTCAAGAAATTACCCTGGTCCTGGAGATCATTTGTTTTTCACAATAATTTACTCTCACTTGTGTTTCTAAAGTATCCAGAGTATAATAACACAACCAACCACAACAATCCCCCACCATCTCCCACCCTCAAACAAACAACCATCTGTCCAACTGGTTTTTTAATGTCACTGTTTACAAATCAAGATGTATTCAGTCTTGCTTTTCTTTTCAACATTCTTTTGATGCTCTATAGCTTCATGGAGTATGGGGTAAGAAACACCAGATTTTCCCTGAAACAATGGCTTTATGCTCCCTACAAACATTTTCAAGCCCATCAAACCAATGTAAGGTCTTCTTTAGTTTACCGTCCATGGCTTTTTGGACTTCTAGTTGACTTGTTTGGCACAAACTTCAACTTTCTATTGGTGCTACCACTGGAGGAAGATGGCTCAAGTGCATTATGGTGCACCTTAATATGAGCAAACATGCCAATTAGGAGCTTAGGGCAGGAATGCTGGGTATAGGGAGCCCGACAGCATTTTAGGGAGATGGCCAGACTACCAGATAACTTCTAAGGTCCCTTCCAGGTCAAAATCTCTGATCCTACTGAAGTCCCACTTTCTGTGGCTTGAAAGCTTAATATAGCCTTTTTCTCTTTAAAGTCCAAGGTAATGGATCTCACAGTTTCATATTTATCCTTTCTTCTTGCTGTTTTGGGGAACTAATGATGCCAAGTATTAATGGAATTCATAAGCTCAGAGCCCCAAGACTAGGGAAGAAATGTTTTCCTTTCCTTAGTCACCAAGCAGAGACCAGCCTCTATGATTCTTAGTAAGCTCTGAAAAATATCTCACTTAGCCACTGCTTTTCCCCTTAACCATTTCTTTATTGCAAAAAAAAAAAAAATCACACAGAATGCACAAAAGTCAATATATCTTCATCTGAAAACAAAATCTACTATAAAAGGACACACAACAAATATACAAGATTTAAAAAGAGTAGGTAATTCCAAAATGGTGAAAGATGCTGGCTCTCTAGTTAGGAGAAAGGTGGAGGAACTGGAGAGTGGATGCATTAACTGGGTCCCAGCAATGCTATAAGACAGTCACATTCAAGCAAATGGCAAGATCTTTTCAAGAAGATCATTCCTTAAGAGGATTCATGAGCCAGACAAAAACTCTGATGGCTATCTTAGTCAATGCAGGGTGGAAGTACCCTTTCCTTGCAATAGGCTCCAACTCCTGCTATACGTTTGTCCCTTGAACCCCTTTCCACAGAGCTCCAGTGTCTCCAAGCTTCCATGTTCCATGAAGCAAATGCCTTTCAGTAACCTCTACTCTCTCCCTCTAGTTGGCAAGGCTACATTTCCCAGGTGGCCCCTTCCAAGTCTGCCTCTGACACACATGTGCTGTGTGATACTGGGCAAGTCACTTTATAGTCTCAGTGCCAAAGGCACTTCTCTAAGATTACAAGTGATAGAATAGATGCATATCTGTATTGGTAGAGGAAGTTCTCAACCAGTAGTTCTTAATACCAATGAAATCATGGGTCCATTCAAAAAAAATTGGAGGTGTGCCTCTACTTACAGTGATACTGAGGGTCACCCTCTGGGCTAGGCTTGGAAATGTATGCTGTGCTGTGTTCCCCACAGCTTTGAGCTTGAGGACCTCAGTCTAGACTTTTCTTAATAGTTCTTTAGTTCTTCTTTTTCTTTATAGACATTTCAAAAATGTCATGAAAATGTTCAGCCCTCCTTTCCTTCCAGCAAAGAGAATCTCCCTCTCAAAGAAGGAACATAGAGAGAGGATCACATGTGAGAATTTCTGAAGATTAATTGGAATACAGAAAAATCTTCTCTCCTTGAAAGAGCAGTAGCAGTAGCCACAAACACAAAATCCTAATTGGAAGAGAATTAAGGTCCTGTATAGCCTGACTTCTCTTCTCCTATAATATCCCTGACAGGCAGTTTGCATGATTATTTTTTTTTCTCTCTCTTTTTCCATTTATTTAGGGGGAAAATGACCTGGTGATCTAAGAATTTAGATGTAGGTATGAAGGAGGCTGTATTTTCTGATGACTTACTATCACCTGGATGTGTTCAGTTACAGACCCCCTAGGGAGAAATGTTCTGTAATTTAATTTCTAAAATGTACCTAATTTAATTAAATAATTCCGTGTTCAATCAGACTTGTAAATTGTATTAAGTGTGATAGTTTCACCAGGAAGCCCCAGAAGGAAGAAAACAGTGTGAGGTATGATCTTACTCTTGACTCCTCTCCTTAGATGTTAAGCTGGTCTTAATCCATTCTGATCTTAAGACCCCTCTCCCCCGATTTTCATGACATTTTACAATTAGAATGTTTTCAATTTTTTTAACTAGGTAAAAAAGGCCATCTTGTGCCTCTTTCCTACCTAGCCTTAATCACTGAATGGGCATTGCCACAGTCAAACTGAGACCTGGAAAAGACCTTAGTTTAAAAAGGCCAAGGCCTCCCACTGCCTCCAGCCTCCAGGGCCACCTCCAGTCATCCTGATGTGTATCTTTCCATTGGACCCAGATGGCTCTGGAGGAGAGAGTAAGGCCGATGCCTTTGCACAGCCCTCCCTCACTTAAATACAATTCACTTGCATGTCATGGCATCACCTCCCTGATGTCATTGGTCCTCTTCGAGAACAAAGGACAAACAAACAACAATGATTTTTCTAAATGTGGATTCCTGGGTGTGGGCCAGTTGGCATCATACATTTGAGCACTTAATCGTAACTACCTTGCGTTGTTACTTATTTCATGTTTATGCGTCTTGTCTCCCCAATTACAAGTTCCTGGAGAGTGGGCACTGTATGGCATATTTCATTTGTATCCCCCTCAATATCCTGTTCAGTGCTATGCCTCTAGTAGGTACTCAAAAAACCCCACAGAGGTCAAAGGAACCTTACAGGTCATTTAGTCCAACCTGTAACCGACCAAGAATCCCGTTTCAACATCCCTAACAAGGGACCATTCAGTTTCTTTTTTTTTTTTCTTTTTTTGGCTAGGCAGTGGGGTTAAGTGACTTGGCCAGGGTCACACAGCTAGTAAGTGTTATGTGTGACCTAATCCAGTCCTTTCATTTTAAAGATAAGGAACTTGACATTCAGCATGGTTAAGCTAGTTATCCAAAATCACACAGGTAGCCTGTTTTCTATTTGAAAATCTGCAACGTAGGGAACCCACTACCTCCCAAGGCAGCCCATTTCACTTTTCGTTAGTTCTAATTGTCAGAATGTTTTCCATAAGGAAAATGAAATCTATGTGAACTCTACAGGAGCCTGGCATACTATCACTTGCTTCTTGGCCTCAGAGACTTCCCAGACAGCCTGGGGTGCTAACCCACCTCTTGACCTGTTTTTCTTCCAGGGCCTTCTCCAGTTCTCCAAGTGAGCCCCAGACCAGAACCACCTTCCTCCTGTCTCTTGATGGTACTGACCCAGACTCTACCTTTACCTGCTCCTGCTTGCTGTGAGGTGGGCTTCCTGGGCCTCAAAGGTCATAGCATCACCATTCACCTGCCCCAAGGTGAATCTTGAGGATCTTGAATATTCTAATTAACCACCTCCCTCCGCTGACCTCCCTACAACATGAATCCTCTGCCTAGACTTATTTCTCAATTGTTAGCATGGCCCCACCCCCTCACATTCTCCTCATCACCATGATGATGAGCCTTCCGGGGCTGCTGAAGTACAAATCCATTCCCTATCCCCCAGCTGCTGCTGCCTTATTCTCATTCTCCTCACCCTATGTCCCACCCTATCTGTCTACCTATCTCTGGGCTCTTCCACTGCGCTTTCCAGAATACCTGCTCCAGATGAACAAATTTAGTTTCAGCCTAAATTTTTTATTTCCTCATTCCTCCCATATTCCAGTACTTCACTGAGATCTGCGTCCTTCCTGATGACAGCACGTCCCTGGCTACCTTTTCCATTACCTGTTCCATACTTTCTTCTTCATAGGTCACGGGTGATGGTGGCGGGGAGTGCAATACTCTTTGTTCCTGATTGCTACCTCTAGACTTTCCCAGTTCTACCTCGGTATTCACCCAATACACTCAGAAACTTTTCCTTTGAATTCTGAGCTATTCAAATTTACCACCAAATCAAGATCTTTTTGGTCACTGTCCATTGATCTCCTTCCTTCCACAATGAGTTTGGTGACTGGTTCATTGTCTTTTTCTTCATCCCAACTCCTGCCTTCAAACTAGGGGACTTCAACATCCATACTGATGGTTCCTCAAACACCCTAACATCTCAGTTCCTCAGTCTACTCAATTCCCATGACTTACTCCTACGCTTGACATCAGCTATACATACTAATGGTCATACTCTTGATTTTGCCATTATGCCTAAAGTATTCCACTTCCACATTCATAAGCTCTGAAATTCCTTTATCTTATGATCTAAAAAAATCATTCCTCCATCTTTCTCTATGCTTTACAATCCCAACCCTGTTCTTTGTCCTCACCATGACCACTAATCTCTCCACTCTTCAGTTTTTCACTGACTAATACCTCTACATTAGCTACACTCTCCTCCCTTTCCTAGATGGACCCCTTGGTGAATCAGTTTCCTAGTGTACCACCATTTATGCCCCATATAATATCAACTCTTTTGAGGATAGCTTTGTTGCTAAATATTTTGGGATCCTTACTGAGTTCTACTACCAATATGGGGTTCTAAATATACTCTATAGATCTGGAGGCCTGTATACTAGCAAGGTATGTGGATTCATTCTAGAGCAGACCCAATCACGTCAACCCTGAAACCTTCTTAGTCTTGTTTGAGAGTAGAGGTAGGGCATGAGGATGTGAGGAAATGGATTTCAGAGATTTTGGTGATGGTGCTGCTGCTGTTCAATCATTTCAGTTGTGTCTGACTCTTTATGACCTCATCTGAAGTTTTCTTGGCAAAGATAACGGAATAGTTTGGCATTTCCTTCTTTAACTCGTATTACAAATGAGGAAACTGAGGCAAATACAGTTAAGTGATTTGCTCAGGGTCACACAACTAGTAAGTGTATGAGCCCAATTTTGAACTCAGGAAGATGGGTATTCTAGATTCTAAGCCCAGCGCTCTATCCACTGTGCCACCTGGCTATCCTTGATGATGGTACCTAGATATTAATTGTCTGATGGAGTCATTATCCTGGATAGATGAGAGACCCGATGGAGAAAAATGGAAACTTAACATATGGCTAAAAAGGGAAGGACAATTGAAAGGAGGAGAGAATACAACATATTTCCATGAAAACAGTGTTGGAGCTAGTGTCAGAGGGCCTGGGTTCAAATCCGATCACTTTTAACCTGTATGAACTTGGACAAGTCACTTCAATCAATCAATCAACATTTATTAAGTGCCTACTCTGTGCCAGGCACTGTGTTAAACAGTAGGAATAAAAAAAGAGGCAAAAGACAGTCCCTTCCCTAAAAAAAGTTCACCATCTAATCTAACAGAGTTGGGGTTGTAAAGTATAGAAAAGAAGGAGGAATTATATTTAAAACCACAAGATAAAGGAATTTCAAAGTTTATGAATGTGGAAGTAGAATACTTTAGGGATAATGGCAAAATCAAAATGGGCAAAATCTAATTGCAACAAACAAACAAATATGTGCAAACAAGCTGTATAAAGGATAAATTGGGAATAACTAATAGAGGGAAGGAATTAGAATTAAGAAGGGTTGGGACAGGCTTCCTATGGAAGATGAGATTTTAGTAGGGACTTTAAGTAGTCCAGAGAGGCCAGTAGGAGAAGTTGAGGGAAAGCCTACGAGGCCTGGGGGACAACTAGAGAAAATGCCAAGAGATAGAGTGTCTTGTTCATGGAATAGCCGGGAGGTCAGTGTCACTGGATCAAAGAGTATGTACTGGGAAATAAAGAAGTAAGCAAGCAAAGGAGT